CCTAAAAATGCAGCAAGGCATTCTGCTCTGGGTCAGAAAAAAAGTTTGTGCGCTTAAAGACGTGTCTGTATATTCCAGCTGTAATAAAACAGTCTTATAAAAGCATCTGCTTTTCCTCACAAATTCCACCTCCAGAACTACATCAATTTCATGGCAGGTATCACAGCACCAGTGTGGAGAGTGACTGCAAAGAGTGAAGAAAACACTTGTGCACTGTGTATTTAACCTGACACATTATAGCTCCACTATATTACCCTGTGATGTCAAGCTGTAATATAGTATTAAATCAATAACAAAGAAAATGTAAGGTCTATTTTCCCTTCCCAGGTTGTTTTGGTTTTCTTAAGCTCCCTGTCCTTGAAACTCATGCCACTGATACAGCTGAAAAAACAGAAGGATCAGCTGTAAACAACTAGATAGATCAGAAGGCTGACAGTGAATTATAGAATCAGCTCTCTTTGGCTATGTATTTACACCTAACCCAAGCTCACATTCACTTAGGGCTTTGAGGCTTTTACATGAGGCTCTCGGTGCCCACCCTGAATACAGAGCCACCGCTGAAGGGCCCCATTTACTCCCCAGGCAGCTCCACACCCAAGCCATCACTGGCTAGCAGCCTCAGTGGGCAGACCTGAAAGGTTATCCATTCTGCACTCTGCATCTGAGCACAGCCCAGATGCACTTTTAAATTTATCTCTTTCCCCATTTTTTTTTCTCAGCTAGACTGTGTGTCTATGTCTTTTCTGGTGGCAGAGCTGCATTCTCTTTTGCAGCTCATCTCCCCCAGCCCCTCTCCTCCCAGGCCACCAGAGCCACCAGCAGCAGCTGGAGTGGACACTCCTACTCCCTTCCTACAGAGCCAAGCACATTCCCAGTGAACAATCACTCCCACCTCCTTCAAGAAACACCAGGTATCTGCTGTGCTTCCCTGTCATGCCATCCTCCCRAGTCTTTGACATGACTGCATGTCCTAGACCTGTCACAACCTTTCCCTTGGACCCTGGTGAGCTGTTACTCMAGGCATGTCCCTCACCAGCATCTGCCTTGGCACCACCAAGGCTGAGCACACCAAGCCTTCATTCCTCAGCCACCTGCAAAGCAGGAGGCTCAGATCTGATTGAAAATCTTGGCAGACAGGGGATTTGAAAGGCTTCGTTTGCACCATTTTCTACCACTGCACACCTTCACTGTGCTGCTGACTGCACCAAATCTCCATCACATGTTTGTTTCTGGKTTGGAGAATCTACCTAAATGGGGATTTGGCAGACAGAAAGAGAAAGAGGAAGGGAGACAGCACTGAGGATTGCACCTTCTGCTTCAGCAGATGAGAAACATTTCTGCAAAACCACTGGAAACAAGGAGTAACTTATGTGCTACTGAGGGAATAAATGATTCAGTGAACTTCTGTTAGTGGAGGCAAGGTGTAAGACAGAAAGCACCCAGTTTAAATATAAAATCCTGAGTGAATTACAGAACTGGCAGTTCTTTTTTTTCCTCTTTTTTTTCTACCTTTCATCTTAACATTWCATAAGGAAGACACCAAAAAATGGTATCTTCTGAGTCCAAAAAGTTGCCTTCTTTAGAAAGAAGTACATTGAATCACTTCTTAGAGAAGAAAATATCTGTAGGTAAACCCCTCTAAGTGACAGCAGCTGGAGAAGAGAGCATGAARTCAGTTTTTCTTAAGGACTATGCAATACCACTGCCGACCATCTCAAATCCCATGCAGATGGGTTGTGCTAGACCTGTCACCTGATAGTTACCCATGTGTAACAGGAGTGCTTCTGAACCAACTAATTCAATATTCCTGTCTTTTAGAGAAGCCAAGAAAAAAAGTAAGAGAAGTTCAAAGGCACAAAGCAAACATTATTTCATTCAACAGTCCATGAGCAGGCATTTTTCCTCCTTCTGATGTTAACCCACACAAAATAGTACAGCAATCCTGTGAATATTTTAAGTTTTGCTTAATAGTTGCAGTAACATGGGCCACTGTGCTTTTCCTCTGATCATTCATACTGTCAGATCCAGTGTGAATAATGTCAAATACTTGAGYTCTTTTCACTGTTTGGCTCCAGAGGAATGACGACTGTCACTTATGATTTCCAATTCACCGGGGACACTAAACTACTGTTACACAATTTCAGCTATGTCTGCTTCAGATTTTTCTGACAGGTGGGTGATAAATTTTTTTAATTGAGATCATTTCAGGAATRTGTCATTTCTGGGTAGGGTATGTTCAGCCTAATGAAAAGTCCACAGGGCATCTTGAGTCCTGTCTCTTACTTCCACAGCCACAAAAGGCAGAARAAAGACTGAGACAAAGTTTCTGTAGATTGATGGATCTGTAGATATCAATTTCAGCCCACCCTTCACATCTGTTCTGTACAAGCAGTTTGGAGTTCTCCCAGATTTCTTAATCTTAGTATGGCAAGATGCAAAACAAGCCTTTACAGATGAAAGTTTCATGCAAGAGAAGCAGAGCCACTAGGCAGATATAAAGATTCATGCTGCTATTAAAATGCCTTGGWYTGGCCCAAATTAGCACAACAAGAARATACATTAAATAAAACAAGGAAATCTAAAACCAGTRAAGATACCAGAATACTTTGGCCCTTTCTTCCCTCCTTCAGCAAGATCCTGCATACATCACAGTTTTCACAAGTATCCTAAGTGGATGCAGGAAATTCTAACAAAAGTATTAGCAGCATTCATTTGCATTCTGCTAGGTGTCAGTTTCTCCTGAGCATTTTATGAGAATCAGGGTAAATCCTTTTTCGTTCTGCAGGAAGACAGAGAGCAACCAGCAACCTCCTGCTGGGCAAGGCAGGGGCGAATGGCTCAGGCAGGCAGAGCACAGCTCAGCCACAGGTTCAGTGCTGCTTGGCAAAAGCTGCCTGAGGCTTCTTTGTAAGCGCTGGGTTTGGAGGATTCACCCCACCCAGTTCTTAACATCTTCCTCTGAAACCATACTGGTAGAAATGAAATGGGAAGAATGTGGAAACTGGAAAGATAATTGGGACGCGGTGGAAATTATCTCCCTCTGCAGCCAGAGAAGATAAACGATTCCTTCCCTACTCCAAATGTGATGCCAAGCGGTGAACAAATGACTCTGCCTTTGACCCAATGTCTTGGCTGCATGGTTATTATAAGCATAGAGGATGAAATCTTGTTCACAAAATTAGTCTCACTTCCCTTCCAAAAAGGACTGAGCAGAGACAGCACCTCATCCTTTTCTGACATACACACACCTTTAAATAGCAAAGGCAAAACCAGTTCAAATACATACAAATGGGGACTAGAAGATTTTGTTTCCATTTTGTTATTAAAGTTTAAGTTTCTTTTGCTCGTTAGCATCACGATCGCAATCCTGCAACCTGATCTAGGAGGCCAAGTCCGGCACTCCAGCRCTAATACTGCATGCAACGAGGTCAGTGGTGACACACAACAGGCTCATTCCCCTCTCCAGTTACTCCAGATGCATTGCTGGAGGAATGAATGAATTACACAGATCCCCAAACTACAACAGTCTGGCTGGACACACGATAGAGAAGGCATTCTGTGGGCACACAGCCAGCTCTGCCCATGGCCACCTACTCTTCGCAGCATTCTCTAGAGAAACATTGTGAGATCCYCTTCAAGGAGAAGGTACAAAACCCRTTCTAACCAATCCAKTTTACAAGAGTCTGTGCTATTCACTTTTCTTTTATCAGGGATATGCCAGCCTGTGCCCATCTTCCCCAGAGAGCCAATACTAATGGCTCTTGGCTCCAAATCCACTTTTACAACCAAAGGCCAGCAAGTGCTCTGTGGGAGTGCCAAAGGGATGTTGCATTTCCCAAAACTGCTCTCGCTTCACAGGAACACTCAATTTCCACATATTCGTGCAATTCTATTTATATATCCGGTGTTCTGATGAGTTCCTCAATCAGCAGAGTGAACCAGGATCCGGTAACACATCCCCTTGGCAGACCTGTCCATGTCCATGCCCTTTATTCCCGATGCCTGTTTGTAATGAGCATCTACCGATCACCGAGCGCTAGACATCAGTGAGCCACACCACAGCTCCATGCAAACACATGTTTCATTGCTAAATGTTAAAACGTGCTAAATATTCACCATCGGTAGTGTTTCAAGTGTTTCATCAGAATAAATTAAAAAKAAGACAAGCTAGTGGAAAGAATGACAAACTGTATGGATTGTAACTGAGCCGATTTGCCACAAATTCTCCTCGCTGAGAGAGGCCAGCGAGGGTTTTCTTCCTAGGATTAGTGATGGTAGCTGTCACTTTGTTGCTGCTCAACTTCTCTTTATTCCTGTGAAACCGAAACTCCTCCTCAACAACTCTGCCCGGTGCACAGGGAAGGAACATCTGAAGCAGGGAGGCTGCCGGGGAACTCCGTGACTCACGGGAGGCTGGCAGCTGCCAGGAGGGATGCACGGAACGGCGCGGTACCCGCGGGGCTGACCCCTMCGCTTAGCGCTAACAACAAAGGTACGGAGGACTACGGCTCTGCTTCAAAACACAACGCGGGAAATTGCTGGCACGACCACTCAATCGCGGAGAAAAGGTACTCGAGATACAGCATAGGAGGAACTCACGGGAATTCATGTGAGCACCTTCCTCAGTCAAAATCGCTTTCCGAAACGCTCCGTTTTCCCTTTTACCTCCGCCCGGCAGCCCGGAGCAGAGACGCCACCTGCTCCCAAACTGGGAAAGCGGGGCACTTGCCGGGAGAGCGGCGGACTCCTCCGGAGCGGCGCCACATCCCTGCTCTTCTCCAGCAAACTTGCCCCGGGCCAGACCGCGGGACCGCGCTGAGCCCCCCGCCCGCCCCCCGGGCGCACCCCGTCCCGCACGGCTCCGGGCAGAAATGCTGAATCACCAAGCCGAGGGTGCGGGACCGGGGCCGCGGGGCTCCCCCCGACCCCCACCCGGGCACGGAGACGGGAGAGGGTCCGTGCATAGGGAGAGCCGCCCGCCCGCACCGCCGGACACTCACTTGAAGGTGAGGACGCAGAGGGGCCGGTAGGACTTGTGGCTGGTGTTCTCGGCCATGCGCTTGCCCCAGAAGTCGTTGGCGAAGGCGGCGGACACGGGGGCGGCCGCCCGCACGTCGGGGTTGTTCACGATGGCCCACACGTCGTCGTGCACGAACTCGCCCCGCAGGGAGTTGCCGTAGCAGAGGGCGCACAGCCCCGCCAGCACCGCCGCCGCCGCCGCCCCGCCGCGTCGCCCGCCCGCCGAGGGGCAAGGGGCCCCGCTCTGGCTGCCCCGGCTCCGCCGCCGCCGCCGTGCGGGGAGGCAGCGGCGCCCGCATGGTGCGGGGCGGGCAGCGGGACCGCCGCCGGCCACTCGCGCTCTGCCGAGGCGCAGCCCGCCCGGCTGCAAATAAACAGCGGCCGCCTCCCCGCGCCATCCCTCCTCCTCCTCTTCCTCCTCCCCCCCCGCGCCCCCTCCCGCACGCATGCTCCTTGCCGCGCTGTCACACCGCCGCCACCTCCTCGGCCCGTCGGCGGGGTGGGCTGTGCCCGCGGTGGCCCCGCCGCACACCGGGGAGGGGACACGGCACGGCACGGCACAGCACAGCACGGCGACACCCAGGCGAGACCGTGCCTTTCGCGGGCGGGGAGCGCAGCCCCGCTGCGGCGGTCGGGTSGCCGCTGTCCCTGCTCTCCCGGGAGACCGGTGCAGCGCTGTCCTGGTGCCAGCGCCTCCTCCGACGCCCCGCGGGCACCCCCCTCCGCAGCTCCCCTGYGGACCGTGCTCACCTGGGCAGCGGGAACATCCCAGCCGGCTCCACGGCTCCCGCGCTCCTCCACAGCATCACCAGTGTGCGTGCTGATCCGGTATCGATGCTGCTGCACCGCATCCACGCTGCTCCGCGGCATCAGGGCTGGCCCACGTCCTCCACGCTGCAGTGTCGGCTGTGCCGAACAGTCCCCCCTGTGTCCCGCTGGAGGAAAAGGCATTTTGGTGCCACAGAACTTGTYTTCTCTACTCTGGTCCATTGCCTGTCGCTCTTCCAAAATCATTTGAGAGCTGCAGTGTGTCCGTACCCTCCCCCACAGATGACCTTTCTTGTCTTAGTGACAAACCTCAATAACTGTCACTTAAGGAAAGGCCATGGTCACATCATCTGTTCACCCATGTCTGAAAACTAAAACTAGATTTTTGATAAATCTAGTCATAGATTTATCAAAAACCAGAAAAACAAGGAAACAGGGACTCTATTAATGGAGTTTTACCCTTTAAAGAAAACCTTCTGCTTAYAACCAAACAAAGCAATAACACCACTTGGCAAAGAGGCTTTGATTCAATTAGGTGAATGAACATACTGGGCATACTCTGAATTTGTTCTTGAGGAAATGTACACTGAACAGGGATACACTCASCAGCAGCCTGTGCAGTTCCAAGCTGCTCCCTGTGCTGCGTGTGAGTGTGCCTGCCTCGCTGTGGGAAAGCCAGGGSAGCGGAAAGCCGTGGAGAGTTCATGCAGGCTGTCCGGGACAAGCCCGCTCCAGGAATGCTTTCTCCCCCAGCATGTTTGGCACTTCGAGGGATCTGGTATTTTCCGCGTGAAACAGAACAGACTTTTCAGATGCACTTTTGTCATAGCTAAAAATACCAATTAACTCTGACTAGGACAGGGTGTTTATATCCGGGACAGAAGGAAACTCCACCASAATGAGAGCCAATAATTCAAACTTTCTCTTTAAGTGGCTGATGACATTCAGGCAGTTGGCTGCATAGAGCTTTCACCAGGAATGGGAAACCACTTGTGATAGTGTGTTGATCTTCGTTTTCACCAAAGTTTTTTTCAAAGCCTACGCATGCAAAACTAGACTTGAAGTCAGTGCATGGGCACAGGAAGAGAAATAGTCTGGTCCCAGAGGCACTGAAGTACCAGAGCCCAGCAGCTCTRGAAACAACCTCACTATTGCACACATGCCTATAAGGGTTGAATCAGGACTTGGGGAATGAGCTGTAATATTGATGAAGGTAAAAACAATGCGTACAATTTAAAGGTTGAAATTGCCTTACAGTAGACTACAGGTAATATCTGAAATCCTAAATTACCTAAAATCTGCAATGCCCCAGGCCAGCAGGTCCTCAGCAGCCTGTCCCTCTCAACAAGACCCCATACCTCTGGTCCTTCACCTCCATGGATCAGAGTCCACACAGCCTTTCCCATCGATGTCTTGCAGCCTTCTGTCCTTTCTGTCATCACAGGTTGGGGGCAGCTCACTGCCAGCCTGCTCCTGCCACAAAACAGGGTCTGGGGCTGCCATCAGGCAACTTGGCACCAGGGCAGGGACAGGTCCCTCCTCTGATTATCCAGGACTGTGGTACGTGCCCCTGATGTGTCACAAGTCCTGCTGTCCACTCTTCAAATTTAACTAGTTCTTTACAAATAGCACACAAAGAAATGCAGAGTTCTAAACCAGTATATGATGAGAGAAATAATTTTCCCATCAAGGAATTTCTTGTCAATATCTTCTGACAGTATCATACACAGCCATCTAACATCACATAGTACAACAGGCAYGCTCTATGGAATAAATAATGTTGCTTCTCATACAAATCTACAGTATCCTGCTCTCTTGCATATCCTTCCATGCTTGATTAATAGCAAAAAGAGAGCGATGACAGTCCCAGCCCACTCAGGACTCCTTCCCCTCACAGTGCTTAGGAGGGCACCTACACTGGCCATTGGTTTTCATCATCACAGAAATCTAGAGTTTGCAAGGGATAAAAACCCAATTTATTTTTAAAACTGTTTTCTTGCTTATTGCAATGTTATGTGTAAAGTATAGTTAACACTGATTGCCAAGTTTTTATATTAGAAGAAAATCTATTCTCATTTCTCCAACACAGACCAATTCTTTCCTTTCTTTCCTCAAGCAAACATCAGAAAGAGACAAAGCAGTGCTCCAGCCAGCCATTGAGGAAGACCTTGTGTTCTTCACACCAAGACCCACTGAAATACAAATACATCATCCTCTACTTTCTCCACAGAGGAATCCATTATCTCATCAWGCATCAGTCACCATCACAGATTGAATTCAAGATGTTGTCTGTTGCTAGAAGTCCTGTCCACCTATGAAGAAACTAACAGCAAAAAGAATTCAGAGAGCAGAAGAGCAAATACTGAACAATGCTGTGTTCTGGATGTCAAAACTGTAGACATATGTGCAGGCATAGACAGAGAGGAAAGAGAAAGAAAGAATACAGCAGTGGGATGGTTTGCCCCAAAGTTGCTTTGCCACTTCCAAAAATATGTGTTCTAATAAGAAGTATTTCCTTCTCCAGCAAGCCTTGGTTCTTTCTCTACCTAAAGTAGCCATGTCATCGTTTATGAAATGTGAAGACAAATTGCTTCTCAGAAAAGTCGAGCTGAGTTCTGCAATTGTGTGTAGTTGAAGTACTTCAGCTATTTGCCTGCCTCCTTGTATTTGAATCACAAGTTTTGTGCCAGCTATGTAAAAAAGATTAACAAATGGCTGTTAAAACTGGAGACCTTGAAACTAATTATGTGTGACGCTCAAAAAAACCTTGCTCTGCTAATTGAGCTGAGCTTGTTACTTCTAAAGCAAAAGTGTAGCCTCCACTTGGAGTAAAACATTCAGCAGCCTATGCAAGGTAGGAGACACATTTGAGCAGATAYGCTTCAAAGGGTTGAGCACTGATTGATCTGTTATTATCTGACTATTGCAACTGCTCAGAGGCAGAGAGAAACTGCAAATGTTTTGAGTTTCAAGCTTAAACGCAGAGTTCTGAAGAGCTCAGCTTTGCACTGACTGATTAAAGTACGAGAATGCAGTAAATACAATTTAAAAGTTAAATTACCATATGGTCATAGCTAGAGGTAAATTTCAAAAGTAGCACATGTAAATAGTTTCTTGCTGTCTGAGCAAATAATTTTACGTTTAAACTAAGTAATTTGRTAACTGGCCCAATTGATTTCTGCTTGTAGTCGGTTACTGAATGGTTATGCAATTCATTTCAGTTGCYCAGGGATGAAACTCTGTATCTGCCATGCATAGAATCTTTGGTGGATACAGATAATGTTCATATGGTTAAAAACAAACCAAGTTTGGCATCTTAAATCCAGTGTGCTGCCTGTGCTGGAAGAGTTTCGGAGAGACAGAGTGCAATCCATGTGGGACAGAACCCCTCCAAGGAGTTCTGTGCAGTCATAATTATATTTAGTCCAGTAGGATTTGCACTTTGGAGTTATTGGGAGCACTGCAGCTGTGGAAGGCTGAGATTTGCTGGAAAAAAATCCTAATTGTGATCTTTTTTCCTTGTTACCAAATTGCTTCTTGGTCTATGCAGGTGACAGAAAGTTTCTCTTTGGTGAATTCTTCCTAAAGCACAGTGAAAAGTCTATGTTTTTGTTTCCACTTGTGGTCAAAAGCCAGAAGTAGTACAAGAAAGGAGAGAAAAACTTAGTACCTTGGTCCTGTGATCCACAGGAGACAAAGAAATCCAATATCYTCGGGATGACCTCTCCTTTTCAAAGGGGATATAGCATTTCAAGTTCACCCCACAACCCTTAATAAGCCTGCTCGCCATGGCAGTCACAGACTGTGCTAAATATTAGCCCTGAAAATTCAACCCCCTCAGTATTTATAAAGTGATATCAACAGCGCTGCTTGGTGGATCCTCATGGATGCTCCTTCCCCACCCCTGACACAGATGGCAAGTAGCACAGAATCCTCTGTGACCCATTTTCACATCCACTTGTCACCTGTTTCATATGCTTGCACAAAATGAGAGATTTCAAGCTCGGAAAAAGCTTGCCATAGTTGTTACTGGATTAGAGGGAATCTCTTTTTCAGCTYATACAAGAAATGCATTTTCTGCTTTGAAAATACCTGAGATAAGCCTTAGTCTATGGGCAGGATTGTACAGAATCCTCGAAACCSTGCATTGGATGGAACATCCACGATTTGACACTCTACCAGCAAATGGAGACTGACTTGGATTATGGAGTCTCAGTTTAAAGGGCAGGGACAATTCAAAGGTGGGACAAKCCTCAGTAATGAGAATAACTGGATTCTTCATCCTCTGAGAGGAGGCAGACAATGGCATAGGCACATAAGATTGCCCAGTCCAGCAGGTTTACTCATCAGCTGAAGAGATCAGTACTTTTCTTTTTTTTTGCACTTGATTTGGATGTTCAGAACCCCATGATGAAATGGGGAGTGGAGGAGCAGAAGTGTTTTTCTTCTCCTACTGAACATGGATGTGCACATTTCCTCTGCTGGAAGCAYTGCAGGAATTTCCCAAAGCCAAAGAAAATGCTCAGCCTCACCCTTGCCTGACAGATCATTTTTATTGCAGCAGAGCAAGGGAAAAGTGCCGGCTGTAGAGCTTGAGTCATAAGAGTTATCACTGGTAACATTCATCTATTTATTGCTGATTAACTACAAGAGAGTTTAGGCTGAATTTTTATGCACTTC